TATATGCCATCTAAGACTTTAAGTACACCATGGGCACAGACACCAAGGCAACGGAGAAGTGGATGGAGGACATGAAGAGGGCCCTACAGAAAGGCAAGCTGCAGGTCAGGCAACTGGTGTGTACAAAGACCCAGAGGGGATTTCAGTGTCAGTGAGCTAAGCAGATTTATGCACTGCTGCAGACAATCATGAGGGTTGCTCAACAACCTGGCCACAGATGGATGACCACTGAGAGGATGATCAATGGACCTCTGGCTGGTAAATCCACAGCAAACAAGTGATAGGAAAAAGTATACCTCATGAGAAAGAATGGTGATCAAAGTTTTTAACACCATCCTATTAGTTTTTTACCTCAAGAGCAGCTGCCTAGAGAATCACTACTGCTGACATACAAATACATTCCTTTTCAAATGTGATCCCTAATAAGGAGCACTTTATTAATATTTTATACAGTGGAATGATGTAGCACAACCTTTTTCAAGTAAATAGGGAATTCTACCCTAAACTTTTTCCATCATAGTTGGACTGATTAAGGGTTTAGTACTTCATGGGTCTTAGCCAGTCATGAACTTGCCGGGAAGCTTTCTCTCACCCCTGATTTCATCATCCAAGGCTTGGCCATGAGATGCATGTCCTAATTCCTCTGGCCAGAGTGCATTCTTCACAGGACAATTGTGTAGCTATAGCCACTGCAGACTGTATAGCTTCTATGGGGCCCAGAAGCATAGGGAACCCAGCCCTATCTGGCTACACAATCATTTATGCAAATAGCAATTGTGAAGCTAATACATTTTGATAAAATAAAGTATATATAAAGTCTTGTAACCTCTAATAAGACTGTTAGGCAATTAGTATTATTTTTTTACTAATGGAATTACTGTAATTTAGATGAAGATAAGAGGTTTCCCTAGGCCTGGTTTACACCTGGGCGTTTTACAGCGCGTTCCTACGCGCTGTAAAACTCTCAACATGTGAAAACCAATGATTGCCTATGGGCATGGTTCCCACCTGGGCGTTTTCAAGCGCGTAGGAATTCGCTGCAAAACGCACTACGCCCAAAGAAGTACAGGAGCTTCCTTGGGGCGTTTTGCCGCGCGTTTCCATTGGTATTCCCGAGTGTGGATCGGGGTTAACAAAGCCGTAACCCCAAGCCACACTCGGGAATACAGCGTACAGGTCTTACCTTGTCCGCGATCCCCGCTGCCGACTTCCGGGTTCCGTCCCTTGCGAGCGGCCACGTCGCAGGGGGGCAGAGCCGGCGGGAAGTTTAAAAGTGAAACAAAAAAAATATATATATTTTTTTTAAATATAGAGAACATAAAGGGGGACAAAAATCATACCGCCAGTGAAACGCGCGTTTCACTGAACGGAAAAACGCGCTAAAAACGAGCTGAAAAATTAGCTGGAAAAAACCGCTCAGGTGTGAACCCAGCCTTATGCTTTTGCTATGGGTCTCCATCACACTTAGATACAGTCCTGCCACAGCAACGTATAGAAAAAGCACTTTAGAGGGAATAACAGGGAAGTTCTCCTGATTGCATTGTCCAGGCAGAGGTGAGAAAAGATCTCGCTGTGTGATCACAGCTATAAAGACCTGGTGGTTCAGTGTTCAGTTGACTGGTTGCTGCAAGTTAATGCACTTTGCGCACTCTAATTGCTCTTTGTGCTGCCCAATTCTTTAAAATCTGGTTATACCCTAGCTGTTAACTCGGCATGCTCTTTTTCTGACCATGTACCAGCTCAAATAGAAGTCGTTACTTTTTTTTGGTTCTATAATTAGCATAGGTACTGAGTCCAATTTTTACACGCAGAGACAGTAATATGCTACTCAAGTAGCCCTTAAAGTTTAACTGTCATGCAGTACTGAAAGTTTTCAGTGTTACATAACAAGTGCACATTAAAGGTCATCCTAAAGTTATATTAAAAGAAGAACACATGAAGTAAAATGACATTTTTGTTTCCTTCTTAGTTTCATGTTGAAATGCAGATATCAGGTCCATAATAGTAAAGTAGGATAAGCTCAAGATTAGATTAGTTGGTTAAATAAATAGGGAGATAAGTAGAGAGATAAATAATCTTTGTGTAGCAAAGTAAAACATTGTAATTAGAAGGCTAATTTTCCAAGAATAACTTTGCCCCCTTGGCTTTCTCCAAGAAGACAACAAATACATTCATGCGTGGTTCATGCTATTCAATCTGCTCCAAAATCGCAGCAATATACCACGCATGCTTTGTGGCAATATGGTATCTCTACTACTGTTATTTATATATATATTTATTAAAGAATACAAGGCATTCTGTGCTTGAAAAGGATGAAATGATGCCATATCCCCACCCCCTCCTCTCCTCCGTGAAAAAATACAAGGTATTTCATGGGCCATAATGAAGAGGAGAGGGTGATGTGACTGGAGCACTCTACTGCTCAAATTGCATCGCTCACTCCCCACAGTGCCACTGCCCAGAAAGCCCGGTGTTATGTGCAGGAGATGGCAAATTCCAATTTTCTTCCTGGAGAGTGGCTTTAAGGTAGGACCAAACAAAGTTTGAGCTGTCTGCCTATTTTATGTGCCGAGAAAGAGGTGTAATGAAAAAAATGATGCTGAGAAATATATATGTCTTGTTCTAGTTCTGCAACTGTAATATAAGAGTATTTAGTGAATAGGAGTGCAGCATACATGTGTGGTGTATAATGACAGTAGATTCAGACTCTATTAAGACACGCTCTATTTAACCACAGCTACTTTTCTCTGTTGGGCGCTAAGTGCCCCTCTTTCTGAAATTCTAAAGTTGGGAGGTATGGTTCCAATTTAAGGTCACTCAATAGGAATTATCATTCCTTACAAACCAGTGAAGAGTTCAGACAGTAAACAGCAGAACAGAAAAAGGAATGCAAAGGAAAGTGAAATGACGTCTTAATAGTATCTCAGCAATAGTATCTCAGCAGTAAGTAAATCATTAATGGGAGAGGCAGACTCCATTGGCAGAACTACCACCATAGAGGCCCACATGGCAGCTATGGAGCCCGGGGCAGATGGGAGGGCCCAGTCAGCAGCAGGAAGGAAGAAAGGCTCTACAGGGGTCTCCAAGAACCGCTATCATCTGGCCCCCAGCTACACAGTCTGCATCTCTGTCAGATGCGGACCGCATAGCTGCTCCTGTCAATGCCGGCAATAACTAGCTCTGTTCAGACAGAGCTCTGAGCTCCAGCCAAAAGGAAGGATTAGTGAGGTCTGCACCAGACCACTGGATCACCAGGGAATGTGCAGGTGATGGGGTTTTTAATTGTTTCTGCGGCAAACGAGGGCGGAGGGGGAAATGATGGGGGGTGTATTATTCTGTGTGTGGGTGTTTTATTTTATCTGTGGGGGATGAGGGGAAACGATGAAGGGTGTATTATTCTGTGTATGTCTAAGTATTTCTCTATGTGTGCATTGGGGGATGTATTTCTCTATGTGTGTGTTTGTGTATTAAGCCCCATTCATATCTGTAAGTTTAGGGTCAATTAGGAATTTCTGCGTCAAGAATTTGCATTTTCCTGCAGCAGGAATCCTTAATCTGGCGTTTACAATAGGCAGCTGTCATCCATTCAAGTTAATGATCAGGTGACAGCCACTGCGTTCAGAGAGAATGATTCCTAACCACATGTAATCATATCATATAATAATATATACTGTAGCTCAGGCACTGTGCCACATGACTATAGCAACGTGTTATTCATGGTATTTTGATTTGGGGGGGGATACAAAATTTTGCCATGGGGCCCTGTGATTTCTACTTACACCCCTGGCAGACTCAATTGGTGTTTTTATCCCCACCCCCAGTATTTATGTCTAGGATATCTCATGATTGTTGAGAATTACTGAGATGTCAACAGGGAACAAACATCATCAGCAGACCTGTCTCAAGAGAGGTGATTATTTGTTGGGGTGGAAATCTTCGTCTGTTAGCCTTGTCACTCCCCCAAAACAGGGGTGAATTTCAAGGGCTTTTCTTTCCAAATAAACGTCCATACTGGTAGAATAGTAGAGTGTAGGTTATTGAGAGGCATATATCTGTAATTTGCTTTAGGGGCAGAAAAATATTTTTTAATTCGGAAAATATGGAGTTATCTTATTATTGAGGTCTTAATTTGACGTAGGAATCAGAATATATCCTGGGGAAAACTAGGAAATATCCAAGACCTCATCAATACTGTCTTTTTATACTTCTCCTTTAACTGGTAATACAAGGCTTCATCGCTCAAACTATATGAAAGATGATGTGTCTGTAATTAATATAGTAACTGATTTCTTTTCATTTTGCACCTAGAAGAAACTATGACTAGATTGCTATAAGCAACAGATAGTTCTTCTTTCAGGCACTTTGATAAGGCAACCCAGTGAAAATGGCAAAGGGTGTGCAGTAACCAATCAATCAGATTTGACCAATTTAAAGTAGCTAGACCGACCTGTGATTGGTTACTAATGATTACTCCACACCATTGCTCCTGCAACTCTAAGTCTCTTGAAAACAAAAATCACGACACAAAGAAGAAACAGAGACATATGCAGAAGGCACAGTCATACAGACAGTTTTTTTTCTTTCTCGTAAGTATGGCACATCATGTAAAACGAAATCAACAAAGATCAAGCAAAAGCATCAAGGGCAACAGAACTTGTCCAGAAAATTGCATAGAAGAAGTGAAAGATGAAGGCTTGAGATGCAGAAATTCAAGTCCAAGCAAAGAGAAGAAGGTAGAGAGTCAATAAAGAAATCTTCTTTTCAATGCTATGATCTACTTTTTCTGAATAAAGTTCTATTATAATGACTAATTAATAATTACTACTACTCTTCCTCACAGTATAAAAGTCTAGCTGGATCTTTAAGAGAATTCATTTTGCTATGGCTATAGTACAATCTGACCTGATCTTAGTTCCTGTATCAATCTCAGTGTATAACCATAAACCAAATATTAGAAATATTTGAAGTTACTATTTGTAATATGGAGAAGGTTTCCACACCTGTGACTCTAATCCTGCGTTTTTAGCAGAAAATGATGGCCGAGGAGCTTGAATAACAGTTTTGTTTCGTGGAGATGACACTCTTGTGTTTGAAAAATTAACTGGTGACAGTGGGGACACCTGGTTGGTTGGAGTGATTCTTCCGAAATTGGTGGGAGTGTCAGCAACAGGAGGTGGTGACATTACAGAAGAAGGTGATCGAAGTGACTGGAAGTACGGTGGAGAATACACTGTGGGAGAAGGAACCAAAGGTGAGGATGGGCAGGAAGACTGTCTGGTTAACCGATAAGATTCAATCACCATGGGTTTGGGAGGAGGTGCTCCTTTGGGAAGTGAGCTCAAGGGACCTTTGCTTGGTGAGAGGATGAACAGAGAGGACTGAAGTTGATATGGCTGACGTTTAGATATTTCGAGTTCCTTTTGAGATTGCACACTCTCTGAGGCAGGATTAGAGATCTGTGTAGTGGAAGGAAGCATGGGTGATCTTTGGTTGTTTTTGGGTAGGTAACCAAGTGGAGAAGGTGGAGTTCTAGCATTCATAGCATACTTCCAAGAAGGTGGCAGTGACATAGTAGGAGAAGGTGACCGAACAGTGTCAGGAGATTGAATCACAAAGCGTTCCATTCTGGATTGCCTCCGTGCAAACAATTCTGCACCTTTCCCTTTATCTTCAGTTAGAGCTTGATGTATTGGTATAGGGGGTGGCTTTGCTTTTACACCAGGAGACTTAAGACCAGACGACCAGTCTGGAACTACATCTGAGCTTTCTGTATTGTGTGTTGCATTAGGTGACTTAGTATTTTGGTAATTAGAAGCTTCAGCTCCAAGAGCAAATGACTCATCCTCAGTTGACACACTTCCACGCTCCTTGTTCTTTTGACGTCCATCTGAATTTTGAACCATAGACAAAAGTTCAGGATTAGGGGCCATCTTTGGCTTTTCAATGAAAGTGAACATGGACTTTCTAGGTGCTTTACGTGCTGAAATGGACTCTAAGATGCCACTTTTTGGTTGAGACGTCAGTCTTCTCTCTCCATGGTTTATTACTTGTTGGACAGGGATAACATGGTGAGGCTCAGAGGGATATAGTGCAGAATAAGAAGGTGGAGAACGAACACGGCTGACTGGTGGAGGACTTGATAAGGTTTCTGCATATGTTGGTGGGGGAGGGAGGTCAATGGTAGGACTTTTTTCTAACGAGGACACATTTCTTTTAACAGGTAACTGGCCTCCAAACGGCTTGGCTGTTCTGTTAGCCACAGATACTGGTTTGGACAGAGTAAGATGTACTTCACAGTACTGTGTGTTTGAAGTGCCATTTTGTTCTTTCTTAACAGGTGTTTCTGTCTCTTGACTGTTTTCAATGATCAAACCATTTGTACTAGAATTGGTTACAACCAGAGTTTCCTTCAGATAGGCACTTAAAGGTTCCTTAGGGTTTTCTTCTGAAGCACTAGGAGAAGGGGCTCGCTTATCTATTGGCAGATAATCAGCTTCTTTAATCTCATCTAGCCACACATCATCTGTTTCTCCTATGCTCCCATGGTCAACAGAGTTTTCTTCCATATTGCTGAAACGTCTTGGTTGTCCAGAGCCAAAGTGAGATTCTTCTCTCATAGACTCTGAAAGCCTTGCACCATACTGAATTTGGTTATACTGTGGATTTTTGGTGGCCTGTATCTGAGCTTGTCTTGCAAGCTTCTGTTCCTCAAAAGCTTTAAGTTTTTGACGTCGGCGGTGAAAAAGTTGGGCTCCCCTTGAGCAACTTCCTGTTGGATTCAGTTGAGAAGAATTGTTATCACTAAGAGATTGTGCTTCCCTTAGCTCCTTCTCTGTAAGGCTGATGCTTCTTGGGATATCTATGGAAAACAAAAATAACGCAATTCAATAAGCAAAAATGCTTTTCTTACAACATATGCAACAATAAAACATGAGTTTTCCAATATTGTGTTTTCCCAGTCAATAGATTATTATGTTGCAGAGTCTTCACAAGCAGGTCAAAAACATAAAGTATAATATTGTAGTGTCTGGTGGTACAGTAACTAACTGTAGCTTATTACAGCTTAACTGATTTACTATTATAAATTAAATAATTTTACAACGTATTATTGCTCTTAGTGATAGTTTACAAAATTGGCTGTATTTAAAGAACTATGGGGCCGCGTTTTTTTTCCATAGTTCTCCTCAGGGTCACGGGAGGACATATACTGTGTCCTCCCATGAACCAAAACTCAGAATATAGCGGGCAGTCACCACTCTCTGCAGGGAGATGATCGGGAAGTGAGCGGAATGGTGCAGTTTCAATGTCACGTGTCGGCTCTAATGGGGATGAGTGTAATTCACTCACTCCATAGTTCTCCTATAAAGACTACCTGCAAATTGTAGCAAATGTCAAAAATACCTGACTATAGTAATCTGAGACAAGACTAGCTGTTATGGGCTTCTTATAGCATTTTGCACATTGTCAATACACTGTACATTATTTTATAGAGTAAGCAATCTAGTTTATCAAAAATATAAACAGATACTTTACAATTCCGTCAGCTTTATCTACTATTATTTGATAAAAAGACAGTCAGATATTAATCAGTACTATCTGCTGCTGATAAAGAACAGTACTTTTTCTACTGCGCAAGTGGTGCTTATAGGGGCGGCTTGACAAACCGGAGTCCAGGAACCCCTCACTGAACAAAACCTAGCACAGCAGGTGGAGAATTATTCTTGAATCAGGCTTCTCCTTTATATCCACAGAAAAAACAGCTTCCCACCTAAGTTGCCCTCAGGTAAGCTCTATGGTTTATCCATGTAGAATTGACATTTAGCGCCTAGTCTACAATGTGTATCCCATTGTAAAAAAATTTGCTTATAGTCTAGAAAGTCGGTCCTGTCAAATTTGATACCTCAGTTAATGGGAATTAAGAGCTGGGTTTGCTACAATTGTTAGATTTGTATGTACTTTACAAGGCCTTTAACAACAGCAAGGCTCCATAATGAGACAATTGGAGGTGGGAACATCATTAGATAAATCTTACCACTAGAGAGCCTTGTGAGATAAAAAGCTAGTGAATGATTCAGCACTTACCAGCCTTCACCAAATATTTAAAGCTCCTATTTGGGGGTCTCTGACTGTGCCTTCCTCTTGTTTTTTCTATATGGCCTACCAGGGCATAACTTTATAACAGAATGAATGCTAAAGCACTAACTATAATGTAAAAAATTGTACAAAGTATGTTTTGTATCCATAACGTCACATATGAATACATAGCCATTCTGTAAAGCCAATAAGAGTTTAAATCTGAAGTTTTATCTTCTTATATTTTGTCTTCCCTGGTTCCCTTGTTATCCTTTCTACAATATGCTAAGTAAAACTATAAACAACACGTTTCCATTTTCATTACATGCCTTATTTTAGTGATTAGTGATGTCAATACTACGTCTCGGTGCTTTTTTATAAAATGCATGCAGATCAAGGCTGGTGGGAGGGCTGGAGGACCAGTACTCCTCTCAAGAGCCCTTAGACCTGATGCAAGCGGTGGGCTGGCTCTTGGGAGAAGTCATCCAAAATGCACTATACACTATGCTCAATATCTCTTATCAATCCAGCAGTTTTCAATGCTCATACACTTTGAATTGGCTCGCGAGGGAAGACTGTCCAGGAAAGGGTTCATCTCTAACATTTTCTAAAATCCTAATGAATATACCAATTGACCAGTTCCCAAGGCACCACTATATGCTAAAATGGGAAACGGATCTGGCCCGTGAACTCCCCTTACGATGTGGCAAACTTGATAAAACAACACTGGAAGAATCTCCATCTGCTTCCTATTACAAAAAATCCTATAAAATTATATTTCATTAGTAATACCGCCCGGAACATCTCCACCAGTTGAGATGTAAAGAATATGTGTGTACCGTAATCTACCTATTTTGGGAATGCTCTGAAATCACATCGTTCTGGCACTAAAAGCCTGGATGTTCAAAGTCACAGATAGACCACTACTCTTAGGTGCTTTGATCTATCTCCTAGGGGTACCCCTTAAAAAGGTGACACATAAGGGAAAACAACTTATTATCCATATCTTGACTGCAGCGAAATGCCTGATAGCACTACATTGGAAACAATTATCTCCTCCATAAAAAAAAAAGATCTCCTTAATTGTATTTGGGAAATACAATCGATGGAGCTTTTGTTGGCCAAACTACATAATGCCCCAGAGATCTATGACATTGTAAGGGAACTGTGGGACCTCATCATGCAAGAACTTACTGTGAAACACTTGGTAGACCTGCTATCCAGAACTCTTTCTGTGGCTGAACACCCCCTTCTTTTCTACTTCTAGTTTCTACTTTTTGCTCTTACCCACCACACCTACCCACTCCTCTTTTCAAAACGTCTGATAAATAGCAGCTCTGATAAGAACATTTGTATACGTGTTTGCTATGGTTAAACACTTAAGGTCTAGACCCATGGAAAGGTTTATTCTCTGGCGGCACTACCTTCTTTTAGACATACAGGTATCTGCTTCAAAAGGATCTCTAGGGCTTTGGTTCACAAATGGCTAAACTTTTATTCACCAAGAGTATGATGACCCCCAGCCAACACTCCCCCATTCTTTCCTTCTCTTTTTCTTTTCTTATGTTGACATGTGCAACACTGCTCCAGCCTTGTTTATTTTTGAATATTATGAAAAATATCTTAAAGAAGAGCTGCGGGAAGCTAAACAATTACATTTGCAGTGGGGCTACCCCTGTACTGCAAGGGTTAAGTGCTTGATTTGTCTAGGGGGGGTCCTTCTGGACTGCTAGACCGGTCCCCGCAGCCTCTTCTCTCCAGGACTCCGGCAGTCTAAAGACTGCTGAAGTCATCACAACTTTTGTAGGTCCATTGACCTGCTTTAGACATGAGGATGCCGAGGGATTTTCCCCAGCTGGAGTAGAGAGGTGAACACTGACGGCCACGTGATCAAGGATCAGGTGAATACTACAGCTTTTTGAGCCACCTAGACAAAACAAGCACTTAACCCTTGCAGTGTGGGGGTTGTCCCACTGCAAAGGTAAGTTTATTTTTCTACCCAGAGTTCCTTACATAGACAGTTATATGAAAATACCTTGATGGGTGGATATCAGTCTGGAGGAATGGATATTTGTGGACAGGCTGCATTTGCATGCAGACAGCACTAGGTAATATCCACATATGATGCTGACCCTCCATGATTGCAAGAACTGAGATCTAATCAATGAAAGTGGCGGGCCACGGATAGTCTAGCTGAGATGAAAGAGCTGGATGTCACTGGAGGTCCTCCAGCCAGGAAATGAGGCAGGCTCTATGTGCAAGCAGCTCACAGTGTGCAGTAAAATCACAGTAAACTATTTCAGTGCAAGAGAGAAGCCTGTACAACTATGCAAGACTAGAGGTAAAGCTTGAGTTGAACTTTTATATTTCCGTGTCTGAACATTTGCACCAACAAAATAACCCAGTTCATCATTGTGCTATAAAACCTAATGGCTTTTACTGCTGATAAGATAGTAATACCAGAGATAAGCGCTTCCAAAACATGTGGTCACCAGGGTCAAAACTGAGAAGGGCACATATTGTCAGACAAATGCAAATGTAGATCAAGAATGGCAGGAATGAAGGGTTAGACAAAACACGCATTATCTTGCATGACATTTTTTGTTTGTCTTTATCTGTTGTGAGTCTCGTAAGACCAAAGAGCTCATATCTGGCAGACATGGGCTTGTTTACCTGAGCGGTCTATGACATTGTTTCTGGGCAGTTTCTATTACGTTGCATTCCTAAGTGGAAGGAAGAGGGATTCCCTTCGTGATAAGAATGTATGACATACCACACAGTTAAACGACAAAAAATAAGTTAAAACATCATAACAAAGATGTATTAAAGAAAACAAAATACCTTCAATGGAAAAATGAAGGTAATACTACTACAGAGCTCTATGTGCTTGGTTGGCACTGTGAGACTGCATTTCTATGCAGTGGCAGAGCGGTTGGGATTTTCTGCACTCAATTGCCTTACACTGTGGAAATTCTTGGAGTCTTCTAGGTGCATGTGAAACCTTCTACTGGAGCATCAAGGCTCCAATGTGGCCAATGATATAATTTTGCATATGATGACATCAACGTACTAGTAGCCACAGGAGCACTGCTAGGCTTCGAATACAGCCTAATTTTTGCAGCGTAATGAGGTTGTCCAAGATTTTCAACTACCATATCAACCAGACACCATCCCTTGTGATCTCTCTAAAACACTGTCCATGTTCCTAGAAACCAGGGTCACTGCAACCCTGCAGGTTAATTCTGGTTATAAAAGAGTAATAATAATAAAGGGCAAGCTACTGTAATCCGGCATGATTCTACCGGGGTTTCTACCTGCCAGTGGCGTTATAAGGGGGGTGCGTGGCGTGCGGCCCGCACCCGTGTGACACCATTGCAGGGGTGACACCAAAATGACTGAGAGTCATTTTGGTATCACCCCCTCTAAACAGTCGGGATCTCGGTCATGGGCCGAGAGCCCGACAGTGTCAGGAGAGAGGAGAGGACCTGGCAGCATACCTCATCCTGCCGGGTGAACGTCCCCTCCTCTCTCTGCCGGTGTCCACCACTAAGATGGCCGCCGGCAGGCATCAATCAGATAGCCGCGCATGCGCGATGATATCATCACGCACGTGCAAGGTGACGTCACAGCGGGGTGTCACCCGGTCTTGTGTGATGCCCCTGGTAAGGTCTTTTTTTCCATAAAATACCTTGTTCACCTTTTTTTGCATCCTTTTTTCCAATCTCACTGCTCCTAAACTCCTTCTGCCCCTTTCAATCTCTTTCTATCTACATGCAATTGCTCCAG